ATCTAAAGCATAAGAATACTGACTAATTTGTTTTACATCCTTTTTGCTCCCATAGAAATGTGGAGGATAATTAACAGGTTCTGTTAGTATAAGATCATCAGCAAATGTGAGTACCTCTATAACAGCAGATGTTTGAACAGTTTGCTGTTTTGGCGCATTGAGGGGGTGAGAACACAATCCCAGGGAGGAAAGACATCAGCAATGATCTTACAAAAACAACTGTTGCTCCCCATCAATCTGGGTGGGTTATGAAGCATTTCTAAACAACTGGAATTCCATCACTGTACAGTCAGAAACAGTATTCAAGTGGAAAAAAGTCGCCAGTGTTGTAGTGCACATCCTAGCAAATTTAATTTAAGTAAGACTGTTTAATGCTCAGAGAAACTTCAAACTTCATAATAGTGAAGTTAGAAAAAGACTAAATAAATACAAAATGTTTGAGAGGATAAAGGAAGAAACCTCTTCTCTCCGATAAGCACATGGAAGCATTTACGTTTGCAAGGTTGCATCTGAACAAACCAAAAGACTTCGGGAACAATGTCCGCTGGACAGACAAGACCAAAGTGAAGATGTTTGGACATAATGCACAGGACCACACATTTGGTGAAAACCAGACACCTCAAACCAGCTGCCAGATCATGATTTTGTGGCAAAAGGGGAAACGATATAGTTTGTATCTCACTGACATGACCAAATGTTTAACAGTAAGAAGACAACAAGCCCAAAGAATTAGAATTAAAAGCAAGTGTACTTTCTTTGTCAGGTGACCGTGAATGAGTAAAGCTTCGTGAGCAGACTCACTTTTTATATTGTGATTTACCGAGCACCTTTGCTTGTGATGTTTTTGTTGTTATGAATTCTGTAAGTTAGACAAGTGTTTTGCTAAAGAGGAAAGACAGATTTTTTTTTTATCAAATATCGGACAAAGTTTTACCTGTTTCAACATAACTGTTACGTCATTTCATGATATATATTTATGTGTAGGTACTTTTATTTTGAAATGAGTTAGATTTCTCCTTTAACCTCCTAGGACCTGGCGTCCACATATGTGGACATCACATTTTGGGTTATTTAGACCAAAATACTCAATTTTGCTCTACAAGGGCCTGATATCCACTTACGAGGACATTATACTGCTACTGTTCTACCAAAATTTTAAATGAATATCCTCATATGTGGCTCTCATTTTTCTT